GGGTGGTGACCCCCCCTCGGGCTGACCACAAAGGGAGGGTTTAGCCCCAGCCCCGAGCCAGCAGCTCCCCACTGACCCCGGCGGTTGCGCAGCCGCAGGGTGGCCACCGCAGCTGGGCACGGAAGAGCTCCCGCTGCGGGGGACAGGGCCTGCTGGCCCCACAGATGTGTCACCTTGTGGCTGTGTCACCCCACGGCCATGGTCACCCCGTGGCCGTGTCATTCCATGGCTGTGTCAGCCCGCAGCCATGTCACCCCATGGCTGTGTCACCCCACAGTCGTGTCACCCCATGGCTGTGTCACCCCATGGCCTGGCCCTGGCAGGGGGCAGCGCCAGGTGATGGCCCCTGGCCCCACGGCAGAGCTGAGCATGGGTCTGCCAGCCCAACTGCTCCAGTTGCGCTCCAGGCCCCAGCAGCATGTACCGGCAGCGCACACACACACACGCTCAGGCATGCACATGTGTGTGCAGCGTGCACGCCTGTGCGCAGGCACATGCATGAGTGCTGGACGTGCGCATGCCAGCATGGGAGCAGCGGGGGCGGCTGGGGCCAGCCCCGGAGATGAGCTCACGGCTCCGGCTCGTTCCCATCAGGCTGATGCAAGGGAGCAGCTGGCAGGATCACACCTCCGCGCCCCGCACTGCCGCCTCAGCCCCCACCACTGTGTTCAGAGCCAGGCAGTTCAACCCCACCAGACCCCTCTCCCCCTGCAGCCTGCTGGAGCACGGTCGGGACCCCACAGCCTCGGCCCCAGCCCCACACCCCTGCACCCTACGGGCCCACCCAGGGCAGGGATGGGCGTACTGGCTCGGAGGAAGGGGCTCAGGCCCCCAGGATCTTCTCCTGTCCCAGCACCTCTGTCCCCTCTCGGTGCAGGGTGGCTGAGGGACACTGAGTTCCCCGGCGCAGCACCCTCACCATGGCCTCTGGGCTGCTGCCCCCACCCCCCCAGCTCCACTACCCCCTCCTGCCCCATGCCAGCCCCTCCCGGGCAGCTAATCGCGGGCGGAAGCGTCAGCCTGGCGGTCAGTGTCTGGCGTCGCCACTGGCCGCCCCACGGGAGGTTTTGCGGCGGGAGATGGTGCAGGCGCTGGGCACGCTGCCACCGCCAGTCCCATGTCCTGCCAGTTCCCACTGCTTCACGCGGCCACACAGCGAGGCCTGCCGGGACCACCGTTGGCACGGCCAGCCCACCCACACCGCTGGCACCGTCACCGTGCAGGGGACACACGGACACATACATGTGGACAGACATCGGGACATGCACACACAGGAGCCTGGGGCTGCGAGGCACCGCATGCAGGTGCAGGAGCACCCACAGCAGAAGCACCCATGGTGGCCACGTGTCCCCCACCCATCCAGCACCTGCTGTGGTTCCCTCGGGACCACCGACCCCTGCCCGGGGGGGAATTAGTCCCCAGAGAGGTTGCCCCAGCTCAGTGGCCTCGGGGCAGCGACCTGCTGGACCCCAGGGCAGGCCGTGCCCATCACCGGGGCCTCGGGGCAGCTCCCGCAGTGGCGGGCGCTGCTGGTGCTGGGGGCTCTGTCAGGCTCAGCCCCCCGCCTTTCCCCTCCCCACGCACGCTCGTCTTTTTCCTCTTCCAATTTTCTGGATGATTAACTCGACTGCTGTTTCCTGACAACCTCTGCTGTTGGTATTAATTTCTTTTAACTAGTGATTAATTACTCCCTGTCTCCCGCGCTCCTTCTCCCTGTTGCCTATTTGCATATTAATCAAATTCTACTTGATGGCCTGCCTGTCACCTCCCTGCTACGGCCCCTGCGACTCCCGTCACCTGCAGATGACATTACAGGGGACCGGGGGCCCAGGGCGGAGGCACCGGGCTCTGTCCCCCCCCCCCCGGGGCCGCGGCACAGGGCGGCAGGAAGGACGCGCCGCGGCTATCACCGTTGGCTCGGGGCTGGCCCAGCCCCGCAGCCCGGGTACCGGCCCTGCCTGGCCCCCAGCCGAGCCCCGGGAGCCCCCGCAGAGCTGGGGGGGTCCCCGTTACTCCCCGGGCTAAGGCAGCCCCGGGAGCGGAGCGGGTGGTCCCGGTCCCCGGGCAGACCCGGGTT